GAATTAGTGTTTAAAAAAAGGGGAAAAAAAAACCCCAACAAACTTGTAGAGTTTGATAGACGATATAGATAGGTGATAGAACTAGCTTGAACATTTCCAATGGTGGTAAGTGATGCCTTGATGTCCGTTCTTTTAATTGTGCTTTTACACTGCATTTGACAATATGCTAGGTCTGCTTTCTAAGCAATGAGCCATGGCCTTGATATATCTGTGGTTATATTACATTCAGAGCAGACCTTTGTATTAATTGATAGCACAGGGAAAATTCTTTTGTGTACAATTTTTTCCCTTACAGGAAGAGTTTAAAAAACAAAACCTCTTGTAAAAATTCCACTTTATACCAAAGAATTTTCCAGGTGCTTATCCTCGAAGGGTGAGACTCTGAGAAAAGAACCTTAGAAGGTTATGAACCCCTGCGGAAGTGGTAACAGTGTACAAAGGACTCAATTCTTGCATATCCTGTTTTATGCAGTCTTAGGAGAAACTACGTTGTATAGTATTGAAAGGAAAATCATATTCTTAACGCATTTATTAAAAACAGCCACTTGGATGTTTTTTAATGATCATTTCATAGACTGGATATAGGAACATGACTGAGCATATCAAACAGCAGCCTCTGAGCATGTTTATTAATGAAATCTTGGAGCAGTTTGAAATTGGATGTACCAAAGGCATGTATACTCTAGTGAGCAGCTGTCTCTGGTGGTGAGCTAATCTGATGAGGGGAAAAATTGTGTTAGAGAGAATCTTTACAATCCAAAATCAAAATCTTTCACTAGCATCAAGAGAGCTTTATGGTAACCCAATATTTTGTACTGCGGAGGAGTGATGTTTAAAAGTTTTTGAATAACAAGCCTTTAAATGGCTGAGAAGGAGGGGGAAAAGAAAAAGATGTGAAATGGAAGATTGGAAAACAGCAGAGAAAATTATTTAAAGCACTTTGACATCCATGAAAGATTATAAAGACATCCTGAATGTACAATGGGGGGTATGCAAAAGGTGCTGGAAGGAACTTCCGCCAGACTTTCCTTTAATGCCTCTGCAGAATAACAATGAAGTAATTCTTTACAGAATGCCTCTTTCCTGAGTCCTTCAGCTGGCTGAGCCAAAGGTTTTAGGAATGGATTGGTTCCCGTGAGCAGACATGCCAAATATATCTCTGTTTGGATATAATATGTTGAATGGGGGACAAAAGGCTTTGGACTGCCTTGTGCATAGCTGCTACTGTAGACAGTGGTCAGTATTTCAATCCTGTGTTCCTTGTTACCAGGACAAGAAAAAATGTGCATCTGTATTGTTTAATTTCCCATAACCACTGTGAGTTGCCTTTCATTCTTTAAAAATTAGAAGTTGTTCATAAAGCAAAATAATTTGAAAAAGTGTGTATACTGTATAAATACAGTCCCTGAGTAATGTGATAGTTTTCACCTACAGTGGAGTAGATTTTGCTTTGTTCATTGCTGCTAGTTTACTTTGCTTGGTTAAAGAAGATGTTATGAGGTAGTTTAGGACAGTGAGACATTCTTTTCTGCAGCATGCTTATCAGTCACTTAACCCTTTTGTAAGTGGCTCATCTTTAAAATAGCATAACACCTTACCTGCTTTTGCAAAATATTTTGAAAGCACAGTGTAATTTTAAGGAATTTATTAATTGTGTCCCAATAAATGTGCCCTCCTCATCATCTGTGATGTAGATCATAATTTTGTCAGCACTTTCATCTCTTTCAAACACATTGAAAGATCTCAAACGTTTACTTTCTCTTGGCTCACCTTACACATTAACTGAATAAGTTGAAATTTATTCAGGAGGATGATTCAAAATATGCTTTGGAATTCTACCTAAGCACTTTGAGCTGGATCTTATGGACATTCAGTGCACAATATACTCCCTGTAAATTTATTTAATTCCATTCCCCTATATTATTTTGTACTATTATGTTGCTAATATAATATTTCCCATTTTTTTAAGAAAAGAAAAACACAATCAGGTAATGATACGGAGCTCTCTCACGTACTGATTTGTATCACTGGTTCTCACTGTTCTGACTGTGTCTATCTTTTGGACGGATATTCAACCTACCAGAAATAGACACAAATCCATTTACTTCAGTGAGACTGAAGCCACTTTTTACAGTGGCTGAAGACCTGTTCTACTCTTTCCACAGTATTGCTCCTTGCATGTATATAAGTACAAGAAAGTGCAGTATCAGACATTGTAGGCTGCAAGCTTAAAAAAAAATCTTAAGAACCTGGGAACTGCAAATTGTGTGCTCAAATCCCCTAGACTTTGAGATGAGCTTTAATCTAAGGCCAAGATCAGAATCTCAGATACTCTGTTGTCCTTACAGAAGCACAGCTGTTTACTGATAGATGGTCAGTATGAGGTGCTGCAGGCGCTATGTGCTGCTGGGTTAAAAATACTGGTAATGTCAAGTGGAACAAGTGTAACGATCTTTGTGCTAGTCATTGTTGTGATGGTAATGCTAACTTGGATTGCTAGACCATTCAAAAATTAAGATCTGAGCCCTGATCATGAAAAGTCAGATGCTGAATCGCAGTGCAGTCTGCAGACCCAAGAGCAGAATTTTGCCTTTAAGCTTTAAAAAACTGGCTAGACTAAAGTCTTCCAGTATAATTTATCCTGTAATTGCATAGTGATGATATAACATATAAACTAATACCGAAAAGTATGTTCCTTTAAATTATTTATTTTTTTACCGGAATAGTGCAAAAGCATCATTGGGTACATCATATACTTTAGAGAATTCGTGTTCTTCTGATAGAAATCTCATGCTTTTCATTTTCCTTAACCATTTTCTGGAAAATAATTTGTGTCTGTACACTTGTGGCTTACAGAGCAAGGCTAGCATATACATAGCTCTTCTGGGAGGAGGGCTGAAATGCCTGCCCTGTGTTCTGTAAGAATCCTTGTATTCATTCTGTACTTGTGCTGCGAAAACAGGCTGCTGCTGCATTTCTTCTATGCAGCAAGTTTAAAATGTCATCGTATTTATGGTCCTCATTTCTCATGATTTCTCCCAAGCCAGCCTCCTATTAGTGACTTCACTGTTTCTGCCATTTCCTAGGTGGAGATGGCTTAAGTGGGTGTAACCAAAATGAAAAATGTAGCTGAACTGGGTGATTCAGAGTAGGATGAGATAATGTGGCAACTGGCACTATTTTAAGCATTCTCTGTTTTGTTCATCTGACTCTGAATGTATCAGGCACTAAAGAAAATATAATGGTAATTGTGGTCCAGTTTCTCTCATACGTAGTCAGGTTGTAAATCAAAAGATCTGCATTATGGAGCTCTGAAATAAACAAACACAGGCAAACTTATAACTTGGAACTTATCTCTTACCTTAAATGTATCTGAATGAAGAAAACAAAGCTCCTCACAGAAGAGATAGAAAGGAAAGAATATGGTTAAATATGGTGTCTTTGAAGTGTTTCTGTTACACCTTCTTACTATCCTTCTGCTTTCTCTACCCCTAGCTTTCTTTGGAAAGTACCTTAATGAATACAATGGTTCCTATGTGCCTGCTGGTTGGAAAGAATGGGTTGGATTACTTAAAAACTCTCGATTTTACAACTACACTCTCTGTAGAAATGGAGTGAAGGAGAAGCATGGATTTGACTACTCCAGGGTAGGTCCTATCGATTTATTTCTATTTCTTTAACATTTGGACGTGACTGCAAGAAAGCTACCCTTCATGGTTTCAGTCTAACTGAAGAATTCTTTTCGTACTTGAAAGCTGCTATGTGTAACATTAGCTAAAACCCAATAGGCATCGTGTTTGGACTTTTCATTATCTTCCATTCTGGGAGGGTCATGTTACTGAAAACGTCGTTAGCAGCAATGGAAACAAACACAACAACCTGAGACTGTGTTATGAGCTGAAGATGTGAAAATGGATTTAAATGCTGCATGATAACTATTTCTGTGCTTTGTATTTCAATTATTGTGTGCTGAGTCAGATTGTCATCTATTCCCCTGGTATAGAACTGACTCCAGTGGAGTTACACAAGCGTAAATGAGATAAGAATCCAGTTCCCTCCAGCTAGACCTATCTTTTTATGTTAGTTTAAAGAACTTCTTTCACAGCCATAATATGATGGAGAATTCATAATATCTTGGTATATCTTATGATAATTCTGAATGAGTGGAGAATTTAACTATTAAATTTGTATCTCCGTGCATTGTTACAGGTGCCTATGTTCACTAATATCCTTGCAAGGATGTTATACCCTGGCCAAACTTACTAAAAAGCTTGATAGTCATTGTCAAACGCAGTACCGTTTTTTCCCCTCATCTAGCACATGCTACAGCTCAGTTACCTGTTTGCAGTCAGAAGTATGTTTATTTCAGCCAAAAGTGTTAACCTTTCCAAAGGAACCAGCTTTTGTGAATTCCTAAAATGGCCTGAATTATCTCTGAAGTATGATGATAAATAAATTTATCCATAAACTGCTGTAGTTTAAGTAGTGTACGACTTACAAAGTTGACTTACTCTGGAGTGATACTAATTTGTCAGGTGTATTTGCTTAATGGGGATTTGGTTCACTTTCTCTTATTGAGCACAAATCCTGCTTCCATATTTGCATTTCATTACCAATGTGTTCATAGTCAATTTTTTCTTTAAAAGGTTGATGTCTGTGTCATTTCCCCCTTCCCCTCCCCCATTTGCCATTTTTAATTGAATGTACTTTGTGTTGAAAGATAAAACTTAACAGACATCTAGGGTTTCCTTTTCTGTCACGAGCTGCTAAGGGGAAGGGGCAACTGATATACAGAATTATTTGTCTTTATTTCCCTTCTGATCTGTGAAGAATGAGAGAGCTAATCTTTACAGCTATGTACCAAAAATGTTACGGTGGAAATACATCTAACATGGAACAAAGTCAGGCAAGTGATTTCACAGGGCACTGTTCCTCATTGTACCAAGGAGCCAACAGAGAACTTTCATGTTCCAATATCCTCAGCTCTGTTTTGTGTATGCAATACTTGAAAATGTTTAGATTTTCATTTGGTTTAGTTTTTCTTACCGAGTTTGGTAATAAATAAAAAAAAAAGTGATGAAAACATAAATGTTTTTATAATCTTCACATTCTTTCATAATACACAGCTATGGTAATAAACAGATGATAGTGTGCAGAGCAACAGCACTTGTTGATGTTAACACTGGAGTTCAAATGAACAAACAGAAGCTGAAACACAAGACTGCTTCTCTTTCTTTCCTGCCATTTTTGTTGCTGGAAACTTAATTTTCCAGCAATGAACGATATAATCAGATTATTTTTTAGCCCTGTCTACTTGACATAGTTAATGTTAATTATGTGCCAGTGGAAAACTAGAAAAAAAACATTACTGATTCTGTCCTCCAAAGTGACTGCTAAGCACTTATCCTCTGAAAATCAAATCTTTGCAAATTCTTTCAGATTTTCTAACAGGATATATTCTACTTTGGTTTTTCTTTTTCAGTTTGTGTCAACTTTTTAGATGAATTTTTAGTTTTGTATGCATTCGCACAGTCTACTACAATCTCTACCATCTGGAGCTTTTAAAAAAAAGAAATCAGTTAAGGGAAACGTTTCTGTTTGGTCTTTTGGCTTGGTAAACACTGGTTCTGCAATGTTGAATTTGAATGATTTTCACTTTGACCAGGTGAAAACCTTCATCTTCAAAATGAAGTTTGAAAACTATGCTCTTATAATGGCTAAATCAAAGATGAGTTACACGCTTAAGAAAGTGACCAACCAGCTTAAAGAACAGGTGCATTTTAGATAAAAGTCAGTGCATTTGTGAGAGCACTCCGGTATTCTCTCTCAGCTATGAGTGTGGTCTCAGGTATTGAAAGTATGTTCAGAAGTCAGTTTTGCTTTGGTCTGGCTTATGGCACATTCTCCCTTCCCCTGCATATGCTTATGAATGGAGGTCTTGCAGTTAACTTTGATGGAATTATGCCTGTTTACGCCTGCTTTCATGAGTGAAAATATCCTATCCATAACAGTCATAATCATGGCAGTTCCGTAACAGACATGCCTCATGTTGGGACCAATGTGTAAAATTATGAATGGAGACTTTGCCAGCCTGGTTCTGGGATACACAGGAAATAATTTGGAGAAAGTAAATACAGTCAATGAAAAAGGCTTCCTTTGATGAATGATGAGCTGACTTCTCAGACCAAGGACACTGGCAGTGGTAAAGAGGAGCAAGTGTCTGAACCATGGACAGAAAGCTGTACTTAAAAGGAGATGCAATCCAATGTGTACACATCTTGTACTTGTTCACTTAACCAGAGGCAAACATTATGTCTGATTTTTACATTCAGCTGTGACATGACAGTTATTATTCTGTTTTTTAAAGGTGCAGTTTCATATCCGACTCATGTTTGAGGGGTATTTATATTTGCAGCGTTTCCTGTGATGTAACCTAAGAGAGAACATGGCTTGTCATTAAAAATACTGTCTTCAATCCCTATAGCTCCAGCAGATATCAGAAGAATGATAACGATACTTCCTAGAAAATAGAAAGATAGTCTGTATCTTCTAAAGGAAGTTTTCTAAATTCTCAGCAATTTATTTGATAGAGCTATATCTCTATCAGATTGTCACTGTGCCTATAATATTGAATGAATTTTTTGGTCCAATTACCCCAGTATCTTCTAGTTTTAGTGACTTCTGGTTTAGAGGGAGGTTAAGAAAAATTAACATCAAGGCATACGGATTTTTAAAGCACTTTTATGATGTAAGGTCAGACTATACACCTTCAATATATTGACACCAAAAAGCAAAGAAATTGACCTGTAATTTTCTTTTTTTAATTAATACCTAGTCATTGTATTTAGTATTGTGATCTTCATAACGTAATTACACACTCTGGGAAGAAAGAGTCCTGTTTGATCTTCTTTAATGTCATTCATTTCTGAGAGGAAGCTGTTGCTTTTCATATTTCCAGGCAGCAAAGAATGATTTGGTTTTAGTTTTTGAAGTTTTAACATCTATAACTTGCTCCCTCTTCCTCCTCCCATTCTGAGTGAAGTAGCTTCTTTTTTCCTGTTTCTTATGAGACCTCAGACCTCCCCTTCCCATCTCACCCCCCAACTTGAATTATTTTTCAAGTATCTCATTATACTTTTGCTTCTACTTGCAGGATTATCTAACTGATCTGATTACCAATGACAGTATTACCTTCTTCAGAATCTCAAAGAAGATGTATCCTCACAGGCCTGTACTGATGGTTATAAGCCATGCTGCTCCTCATGGCCCTGAAGATTCAGCCCCTCAGTACTCACATCTCTTTCCTAATGCCTCACAACACATGTAAGGAAAAATAAAACCCTTTCATTTCCAGGTTCAGGAGTACAGAAGTCCTGGGTATCTCTGGGGGAATAGCATTTGCTTTATAATACTCTTGGCATAAGTTTGTCACAAATATATAAGAAGAGTTTCGAGATTTTTTTTTTTTCTTTTACCTCTTCAGACTAGTACAAGTATCTTCAGAATGGCTACTGCATCTAGAACTCAGAATTGTAGCTTGCTGAGATAAATGGAAAGATTCACGTTGAATTCATTGGACATTGTTACAACCTAGTTGGGAAGTTAAAGCACTGTTTTATTTTGAGCAGGGGGATCCAAATCTGGTTCTTGGGCTGTAATCTCTTCAGGGGAAGAAAGTCTATCTCCCTGTCCTTATGTATAAACTATATTATGGGTATAACCAAAAATCACATAGTATGCAGTACTTATTACTCCTGTTTCATATATGGAAAGAAAGGAAATACAGGCCTGCAGCACGAAATTAGACAAGCTATTTCTGAATGAGCTGGTATGTCTGTACATGACCCAGTACAATGTCTTGAACGGGTCCCAAAAGCAGTATCACCTGGTTCCTGAGTTAACATGCTCATAAGCTCCATGATGAGGTGGTTCTTGTTTATAGTACAGAGACATTTTACAGGTACAGCTCTGTAATGCTCCATTACAGACATCTCCTCGCATGCTGATAAAATTAATGGTTCTCCCAAATCACCTTTTGGCACAACTGAAAACATTCCAATATTTTTCTAATTACTGCTTCATGCCTTCACTGAAGTTCAGCATTTGTAAATTTCTTCCTACGTGCCATTTTTAATTTTTTTTTTAAAGGGGAATTCTGTTTTATTTTGGATTTGTGAAGGAACTGGGAACTGATGGAAATAATAATCAATTGGTAGCCAAAGCTGCTCAGGACTAGTCCAAAGTCCAGTGAAATCCATTTGAGCTTTTTCACTTCATTTAAAATAGAGTCTGAGAGAAGAAGCTTCCTTTGTTCTATTGTCTAGGTATTGCATAACTTAAGAGTTATATATTTCACTATTTTGTGCTGTGCTACCAAAGAGAATCTGTGTCCTAGATCTACAGCAATGCAGTATTTTGTGTTTGTTTGCCGTCTTATGCTCATTTATTTTCTTTGAAATGAAAATTACAGAAATGCCAAATGAGCAACTTCTCATAGGTTATACACAGTATTGACCTCAGTCTTATTAGAAGTTCCTTTGGAAGGCATTCATATCTCAGAGATGATAATCATTTATTAAGCAACATTCTACAGCAATGTAATTACGCTAGTCGAATGAAAGAGTAGAAGGATTTGAGGAGGGCCATCAATGAAAAATATAAACTACATCTATTTTTCTTTTGCTCATAGTTTAAGTTTTATTTTTCATACAAACTAGGTTTATCTTCCTGATTATGAAGTAGTTACACAAAACTATTTTTAATTGTAGGTGACTTTTCTTACAGTGATAACAGTTATACAGGAAGTGTCACTTTGTGGATACAAGTTTTGTTTGTAAAGAAACAAATTATCTTAGTAGATTAAGGAACTGTGGTTTTCATTTGGATATGAACATTAAATAGGGTTTTATGTACATCTTGTGCAAATAAACTGCCAATCTTATTCTGAACAATTTTCCTGGCACTACATAATAATAATAATATCTAAGGGTTTTAATTTCAATCGAGGGTTTAAGATTAAATGTAAACATGCATAATGTGCATCATTCCCTCACTGTATGTACAAATTAGTTCTCTACTTTCCATTTTTTCCCGTGTTCCCACATTCCGGGGAATCCCTCAGTGACAGATAAATCTGTCAATGATAAAGGGGTGTAGGCAGTTCTCCGTGTTTTGTTGTCATGTGGATATAGTAGAGAAGGATCAGAACACAGGTAGAACACTTCTTATGAGTTGCCCTAATGCAGTAAGCAATACCCTGAGCAAAGTCTTTGCCTGGTCCCAGAATCAGAAGGCAGAACACCATGTGGCATGGCTCTCTACCTCTTCTTGTGGCAGCACTGACAAAGTCTGCAGGCAGATTCTTGAACTATATCCACAAAGCAAAGTGAAGGTGTGACTGTAATGCTTACACTGGTTGACATACATGCTGCATTGTGTAGCATTGCTAATAATAGCTGAAAGTTAGTGGTATGGATTTTAGCATAGACTGACAATTGGAGTACTTTGCTTGGGAGCTCTGGTATGTACTTCTGTTGCTAATTTATGCTATTGTTCTCTTGCTTCTATTATTGCATATACTAGCTGGTATGACCATTCAGCCCTATAGTGCAGTCTCTCTCCATCTTGTTCTATAGGGCTCCTTTTCATGTGCATCTGCAGTCTTGTCTTGTTTAAAAATTATCCACATCAACCAGCATTCACATAGCAAATCCCTAGGCTACATGGCTGGTTTTCCTTTTTTTACTGCCTATACCGATAGCTGCAGAGAATGCAACAGCTGGGCAGTTTAACAGTGATCAGAAATGTTATTTCTGTAGAGGGTACGTTTTACTGCCCATCTTTTCCAAGGTCAAATGCAATCAGACTAGGACTTATCTTGTGAGTACATTTGAAGAGGTTATCTTAACCAACTTCTAGGAATGTTATATTTGTGTATTTTTCCCATAAGACACAAATCTGTTAAGTGTAAGAGGGTTACATTTGTAGTAATCAAAGAAAATCACGGGCTTTGGTTGGATTAAACAGCAGGAGGTTTCAAATCAGCCAGGAAATCACAAAGTAAGCTGAAAAGGAGTTTGCCAAGCATTTTTGATTCATTCTGGGCATCACATAGCAACAGTTTCCATAACTGTCAGCATTTTCAAAGGAGCAATGTCATTATTTCAGCCACAATAACATTCTGAAATTCAAGAGGCTATTAACAATACAGAGAGCATAAACACCAGCCCTTTCCTCCCTATATGAAGAAGCCTCGATTTGCCGCCTACGCACATTTTTCAGATAGCGCCTAACAGAGGCTTTCAGCATAAAACATTTCACTGTCAGATTATTAATTTCATATTTATATTAAAACTCTTAAGACTTCCTGTCATATTCAAAGATACATTAGAAACACAGTATTTCGAGGAGAAGTTTCAACTTATATTACTATTGTTTATCTTAATAACTTACCCTGCTGCTCTGTTGCATACACAAAAACAACAGTAGATATTTGCCAAATAGGAGCTGAATTTATCAGGAAATTGTATGTTAGGAAGAAGAAAATAACTGCATATCTGCTATTTTTCCCTGTGTTACTGTGTCACCCTCTTGGCTTGCACATTTGCATAGACTGAGTTTATTGCTTTGAATGAAAAAAGGAAGCCTCAACAAATCACTTAGGAAAAATAATTTTTAATTTTTTAGACTCTGCAGGTGATGTGTTTGAGCCAAGATATGAAGAAATTGACAAAGGTGGTTCTCAATCTTAAGTAATAACAAACTTTTTAGGAATAGATATAGTAGGTAAAAATAGTATTTCTTGCAAATGTAAGCTATATTATAGCTTTCTAGTGAGTTGGTGATGCAGAGAGTCAACGTTATGGTAATGATATACCAAAATAAATCTTTTGTTTAGATCTAAGTAACCTAAAGCAGTATAATTATGCACAGAAAAGCACTCTCTGGAACTGCCAACAACATGAAATTACGGACAAACAGTCTCCTCATCACTTTAATGATTTAAGGATCATGAGAACTTGGAGGGGCTGTGAGATTCCAGGAGGACATTGAATCCAGCTCTTGGGATTTTGTAGGGGCTTTAATTAAAGGTTCTGATGATCACAAAGGAGTTGGTGGCTGGAAAGTGTCTGCAAAATACACTCCTATTTCCCCTCACCCCTGCTTTTCTTGGCAGGTCTTTAAAATGCAGCTATGTATCCACTTCTGCTTGCCATGAGCTCACATGCAGTTTGATGCCGCCAGGTAGGGTGCCTGTGCTCCTCTGGGTACATGAGTGTGAAAGTATTCAAGTAGCCAGTCATGTTGAATTAAAAAAAGCTGTTAAAGAACATGGTAGAACCTTTTCAGCAAGTTCTATAGTTATTGTTAAACAGCTTGCATAAGCCGTAATATTTGGTGCTAATGTGGGCAGAGTGAAAGCAAAGCAATTACATGAGTAGGAACTCTATAGTACATGCTTCATCCAGATCATACTTGTGGAGTTCGACTTCTGAGGCTAGTCTCTTGGCCTTGAAATGTATCCATGTTAGTCTGAAGACACTGCAAAAACAATGTATATTCTTTTAATAGATTTTCTTCCCCACAGAGTTGTTTTCATTCTTCCATCTTTCATATGGAACATAAAAGTGTAAGACTTTTCCAAAGTAAATCTAGTACTTTCTTGTGTACCTCAGAGAGTTAGTCCTCTAGTGTTGATCAAATAGAAATCATTGGTATACATTACTATGGCTTTTTTCTCCGCTGCTAAAACGTTCTGGTTTTCTCTCTGTTGCTTAGCACTCCCAGTTATAACTATGCTCCAAACCCAGACAAGCACTGGATAATGAGGTATACAGGTCCCATGAAACCTATACACATGGAGTTCACTAACATGCTACAGAGAAAGCGCCTTCAAACACTCATGTCCGTGGACGACTCTATGGAGATGGTAAGATTAGTAGTCACTTTTTTTTGGCTAAACAGGTGCTTGTTTCTTGAGTTAGGCTCCAGGCTGTGCTGTATATGAAGATAAGGGGGAAGGAAGGAGGAGGAGGACTGCACCAATTTTTTAATAGTGCGTAATCCTTTCACCTCTGAGGATTTTGTCTCTCTATTCAATGTGTAAGGATCCTCATCTCCTAAAGACAGGTACCATGAGTTGGGTGGTGTAAGTGAGCTGGTTTGTTGCCACAGAGCCACTACTGATTTAAGGGGAAGAGGGAGGGATCACCTGAAAAAAGGTACATCATAAATTCTAAAAATGTGTCACCTGATACTGAAAAGTCATCCTACAACCTGTTGGAAATAACTGCCTAACTGTGGGCCTGTTTTGATCCTGTAACACTGAGTTTCCGAGAGAGCGACAACAACAAGTGATGCTACAGGAGTCCTAACTGGAATAATCCCATGGCAAACCAGGCCCAGGATGTTAAATGTTAGAAGTAAATAAATACATAGGTAGATTATTTTTTTTAATTAAGTCTGCATTATGTAACAATGAAATCTCTTTATTGCAAGCTGGGTGTCTTGAACAGAAACCTCTGAATTAGCTAAAAGCTAATCTGAAAAAGAATGGGTTTCCAGTTGTAAGAAGGCAGATTTAAAGGTGTTGCAATTTACTGCTTATCTCTTGGCATTCTTATTCAAAAAAAGTAGAACGTAAAATAAGAGGAGTCCTGTAAGGCAAAGATGAGATTATCTGGATGGCATTGCATCAACTTGTTAGTAATGTCTTATAATTACGGATTCAGGCAAGTATGATCTCTACTTCATATTAATGAACCTGTTTAGGTGGATCAGATACCAGCATTAGGGGAGATCGGCTATTTTACTACACTATTTTGATTTTCTGTTTAGTAAAATGGTTTCACTTTGAGTGATTCACTGCAAGCAAAATCAGTTGGGGTTTTTTTTAGTTGTAATTGCCAAGTTAGCTGGATCTTTTCTACTGGATTATATGCATCTAATAGTCTTTCAAAATTAAAAAAAACCCATAAACCAAAACCAAACAAACCAACCAAAAAAGAACAAAAAAAAAAATCCAAACCAACAACAACAGAGTTTGTTTTCTTCTGTGCTGATTTGTTCTGGATCTGTGTGAGGCACCACTTTGGTGGTACCCCACCACCTTCGTATGTTTGCAGGTGAAAATGTCACATAAAAATTGATCTGTGGTGCTCAAGTTAGTACATTTCACATAAAGATTCTCATGTAAATCCATAGAAACAATCACAGAGTTAAAGCTCCTCTTAATTCTCCATGTTAGTTCTCCATGTTAGTTCTCCAGCTAGTGAGAGAGCATGATTGAGTGATATTTATCTGGAAGAGATTCTGCAGATATTCTGCGTAATGGGGACTCATCTGTCTGAAGGCAAGATCGTTGAGTGTTGCTTAAATGAGTGTGATATTCAAAATGCTGTCATTTTATTAAAATTGTTTGCTGCAGGAAAAAGATAAAGATGGAGAGAAAATTTCAAAAATGCTTATCACCTTGAAACTTCTGTCTCTGTTACCGTATGTATTTAGTACTATCTTGACAGCTCTCATGCAAAATACTGAACCCAAGCACTTTTGAAAATACGGCATGCTAATGTGCTTACCTTAAAACAGAAAACAGAAGTTTGCCTTGTAATAGCCACAATATTCAGGTAGTTATTTATTATATTATATCTATAACTTATATATGTTATATGTATTATATATAATATATATTATATTATATATAATTATATATAAAAATATATAATCAATTATTATCTGATTATGGATTATTCAGAATAGTTCATTGTGATAACTCAGTGGCATAATAAAACTGTTGTTATTTATTTGAATATTACACATAGGCAGAAAATTGTATCCAATATTCCGCATATGGTACTACTCAGTGGAATGAATTTCATATTTTGTTTTGCTTTTTTTTCAGATTTACAATATGTTGGTTGAAACAGGTGAACTGGACAATACGTATATAATATACACAGCAGACCATGGTTATCATATTGGGCAGTTTGGGCTGGTGAAAGGAAAGTCCATGCCGTATGAGTTTGATATCAGAGTTCCTTTCTATGTCCGAGGTCCAAATGTGGAGGCTGGATCCTTGTGAGTTCTTGGCTATTGTGTGTGTGTGTGTATGTAGTGACCAGAAAAATCCTTTATGTTCACATCTCTAGTTGTATTGACCTGGCATCCAAATGGAAGCACAAAGTTCTCTCATTGCGACTGACTTCCTGCTCATCTATGGCAGAAAAATATGTCTCCTCTGATACCAGAACCGATAGCATGTGCTGGTATAACATAGTCAAGGTTTTATGCCATTGCATTTTTGCTTGCATAGGTGTGCAGCACAAGCCGCTACACTTTTGTGGATGTAGTTGAAAAAGCCACTTTGAAATATGTCCAATCTAGGAAACACTTATTTGCCTCCTTTTGAGGAGTGCAAATTATACACATAACTATCACATTTTCCAGGTAAAAAATATATTGTATAATACTCACTGCCACAGTAGATAATTATTGCTGGACATTAAATCATTTAGTGGAGCCACCTGTTTCAGTTTATGAAGAAGAATGTACATAATATTTCATATATTGTCATCCACAAAGATTCTTTTTGGTTCATCCTTGGAGATTACATGGTTAGGGCTGTTTGTCGGATGCACGCAAGCATGCAGAATATGACTGTTAATTAAAATGGTAGCTTTGATCAGCTAAGAAATTATGTAAATACACTTTCTAAGCAATTATTTCAATAGCAAATATTTGCACTTAAGTAATGATTTTGGACAGAGTGCCATAATTTGCTGCCTTTTATTTATATCAGTGTGCATGTTTTAGCATAATTAACACACACAGTGTCTTCCACACACAATTTTTTTTCTTTACCACAGAGGAACAGATCTAGTCTGTAATACGGTAGCAAATAGTTATAAAAAAAGTCTCATTCCATTTGCTGGTTAAATTCACTGATTCATATTGTCAGTAGGCACAAAAATGTTAAATTCTGTAGATATTACACTGTGTGTCTAATTTATTTACAGCAGTTATGCATGTGAAATAAACAATATGACTTTTCTAAAGAGTAGGGGAGGGATTCCTCAGGTGGAATTAAACATATTACCTCAGCACTGAAAGAAGTTTGTCTGCAGCAGTACAGAATTTCAAGTGAGCTGGATTAGCCTTCTAAGAACATGCTCTCTT